CAATTATTATTACAAACGCATTCGTTCTGAATATCGTATTGTTGCACTTGTCTTGGAAGTATGCAAGCTTCGTTACCTAGGCAACATGCGATTGAGAAGTTCATCCGTTCTCTGTTTTTCTTCATAAAGTTGACTTGTTCTCTCCTCAACTACTTCTTCCAGTTGTTCTGTGTATTTTGCCATCATAGCAATCATATTATCCACAATGTTAACATTCCTAGAAACCAACAACAAACACTTATTAAGGTATACCGACTGCATCGTGTCGTCTGGTTGTCTAAGTCATCAAACATGTGTTCGTATTTCAAACAACCGATCACCATGAAAATCAGCGAGACTTAACGTTAAGTATTTGACCGAAATTGATCACACATGTCATTTATCAATGTGACACCACATTCGACTGTAAAGATAGTTTGGGGAGAACTATCTTTACCACGTGTTACATTGTTTGTTCATTTTAAATCAATGACTAGTTGTATGTCAGTCAATAAAGCTACCAACACACACAATATATTACAATATGACACAAGGAATTCGAATATGCAATTTATGGCAGTCGCTCGTCACTGCAGGAACACGCGCTGCATATACATAATAGAAGTATCTGTATTAGTTACTGAGTATCGTAATATAATGGTATCACTCTTGTACTCTTGCATTATGATTTTACAATTACATTTGTACATTTATTCGATTTCTTTGATATAACATGCAATAAGTTTAGATCCGAATGATATTGCAATGTATCGAACATCGTAACAAGTCATTATTGTGTTATGTGATAGCCAATTACTTACTTAGGTTTAAAGTATGAACTATAACCTTACCTGCCTCCGTTTATCGAATTCAGTGATTTAATTATGTGCGCGCTGTTTGGTCTATCCGCGGGAGACTCTGCCCAACACTTCTTCATCAGTGAGTGCATTGCAGGTTTACATATTTTAACGGGGATTAGAGGACGAAAGACAGGATCTTTTCCAGCTTTCACTGCTTCGATAATGTCTGCAAACGATACAAAAGATCTTTGCTTTCCTTAGAACAATGTCTACATTTCGTTGTGCTATTTATAAAGAGGAACTTTCTCATCACGTCGCAGGAAATTTGTGTAAATACTAATGATATATCTTGGAACAAAAATCATGCAATACATTTCTTGAGACATGGGTAGTCTTAATGCACATATCAGCATCGATATCAAAGAATAAATGACACCTTCATCGCGACCAAGACCCGGCATCCAAAAAGTGAGTGTCATTGCCAGGCGATTTTCAAACATTTTTAGATCCTTTTTAATCAGGGTTTCCGATGTTTCTAAAAACTTCACGACTTGATTAATTATCAGTAAAAGAAATCAACATAGAAATCACAGCATTATTTGTTGTTCAATTTCTGAAGAAAACAAACACAGATTAAGCTTGTAATTAGCACAGTGACCATCTCTTCGCGATGCACGACAACGGACTATTCAGGCGGCTCATTTGCATAAGTTGCTGGGAAAATACCAAAGTGGACATAGATAAGAAAGTAATTTATTTATTTCATGGCTCTTAAAAATCTCATTTGTGCACGAAAGTATTTCTCGAGAGTGTATTATTTAAAATTAACATATAAATGAAAAGTGCAAATGCACCAAAGCAATTGAAGTGTCTAGAAAATGTGACGTTAAAAATGGATTTGCATATTTTGTTTGCAGTCGACAGCAATATTATTGAGCAAGGTTGTAACTATGAATACTGAAGTACATATGTAATAAAATATAATATGTTAGAGTGAACATGTTAAAACATTTGGGTAGGCTCTTGTGATACTGTTCTTGTTCATGCACGAGGTGACACAGAACAAAATATCATACACATTGTTTTACAGAGAGGTATTCGTGTTCAAATAATGAACGCCACTTATTCCTTTCAATTACCGTGTTTTTAGGGAGGGGGAGCAGAAGAAGAGATTAGGGCTAGCGGGCCTCACTCATGTCGGCAATGAGCGAATTAACGTAAACATTGCGGTCTACTATGATTCAGCGTAGTATGTGAATATGTTGTATTGTGATTTCTGTGTATATGCATTCTAGAATAACATTGCGTAATAACAAGCTATATACTTACCCCGCGGCTCTTTGAAAGACTGCGTGGCAAATGGTCCCTCTCTGGTAACAATTTCGCTCAGTATAACACCAAACGCATACACATCGCCTTCCGGGGAACCATAGTACCCTGGTGTGGCGAATCGTAGATGTTCCGGAGCCGTCCATAATAGGCCTGTAAAGTATTCCATTCCAATAAAACAATTTAATGAAAACACAGTGGAAAAGTTGCGCTTGTATTCCATAGATTGGTTCTCTGAAAGGACAGATGTAAACTAACGGGCAATTGGTTGTTATGTACTTCTGTCCAGTTTCACCACAGAATATGCGGTGATTGTGAATTTGGAGTCATGATAAAGTATTTCACTTACGACTGTAGCGTGCATATTCTCCCCCACTGTCATCGACCTCCTCGCCATTCCTAAACTCCCCCATCCCATAATCTGTTATCTTGCAAACCCAACGGCTGTCAATCACGCAGTTAGAGGACTTTAATCTTCCGTGCGACCTAAGTGTACTGTTGTGCAGGTACAGCATACCCTATAACACGTGTTGATTAAACAAAATATGTGAGTATCTAATGACGACTTTTGTATTAGTGGACATATGTAATGATCTAGACCACAGCGACCAAGTCTCAGTAAAAAAGGGTTTAGCGTTTTTTTCAGTCCTATGATCGATATGGGTAACCCCGTCTCTGGAACATCACTTTAAGGTAGAGATGCAGGTTCGTGGGCACTCAGAGTGATTTTTTTTTTTTTTGCTTTTTCTTACCCAGACAGTCTTGGCTAGATAGTGTTAAATTTTCGGAGCATTGTCAATGTTGGAACATACTCAAAAATCGATTTTAAAATATAGGGAACCGAGGCACGCTTATGTGATTAAAAGTCGCGAAAGTTTGTTTGCGTTGCTCTTTGATTGACAAGTCACTGTTGATGTTATATGCAAATGATTGCTGGCCTCAGTTACGGAGCAGCGGTGTGCGACTTCCTGTCCTGGCTCTCTGTTTACTTACCTCAAGCGCGATCAACTAGCAAACTACAAAAAAAAACAGACAAGACGTAGACGCTTCCAGCATGCAAGCGTAATGAAACAAAACATACAGTTGTAAATGATAAGTAAACTTTTTCACCTATAAATAATTTGATTTTTCATTTATTTTCATGTAGGAGGAAGCCCCGGTAGGGCAATTTGATTTTCGGGCAAAACAAGGCCACAATTTCTTTTTGATTTCTTCGTGCATAGATTTCAACTTTTTTACATTGTGGGAGAAACTAAAAAATGTTTCCACACATTTTTATTCCAACAGCATTTTAACACTGATTTTTCGTTTCGCTGTAACGATTATCGTGCTGATAGAATTGCGATGCAATTGACAAACAACACAGCTGTTGCTGTCATCGATAACTAACTTTTCAGTGTCAAAATACACAAACGTAAAATGCTCGGTTATTAAAAATAAAATAAAATTCCCTGGAAATTACAGAAAAATCGGCAACGAGATGCTGTTTTTAAACGCCGTGGAAAAATCATGCACTCTGCGATGCCATCTTGGTTACCTTAATCGGAAACCCCCTGTCAGCTAGCATGCACCGGTAGCGATGTCAGTACGTTGTATGGCCGTGATCGGCGACCTCTGGTACTAAGGCACTCTATGAATGAGGTATTTCCAGAGGTCAGGGTTCGTTTAATTTCTATCGACCCGTCTCGTCTGTAGTTGAATGAAACCTGCCTCGATTAACAATAGTTCCCCTTCCAATGTGACTTCATTTCGAATTTGTTTCACCGGCGTTTGGGTGATTGAGTAGTAAAAACTGCGAATAGGCGTTGTGTAGCAAAATATTAGGGCCAATTTCAACCTGGTCGTCTAACTTCACACGGTCCGATTCACCGGGGAACGCGGAAACTGCGTCATACAAAGTATTTTTTTAAAGGTTTGAGGGAAGGTAAATTTAGACTCATTCCAC